TTCAGATCACACACATCTCTTCTTCACATTCTGCATTCCTCACAGCTTTATTTCTTCCCCTTTCCAAACCCAACAGTATTATTCCATGGCTGTATGGCAAATGATATCCCTTACACATGACCAGCAATTCTTGCATGCAGCAGTTTTCCCCAGTAACTTGTAAACTACAAACTAAAGGGAGCAACTTCTTCCCAGGTAATGCAGTGTGTACATTTCAGAAGGCAGCTTTTGCCTTTAATGAGATATAAACCCATGTTAGTGTATCTCAGCCAGTTTATAACTCCAGATCCAGACTATAAACATGAGACTTTTAAATACACTTACCATGGAATATATCTCATTTAACATGGCTGTTTCCTTGAAGTTCTGTCTAAAATAAGATTAGTGAAGATGGAATATATGTAGTGGTTTTTGTTGAGAGTTGGATCTGCAACGTGATGTGTAGGTACATCTGCAGTGCATCTTGCACCAGCTCTGGAGCACACATACCCTGCAAGCAGATGACTCTTTCAAAATCTCAGTCCCAAACCACTGCGCTGTAACACAAAACAGCTCGAATTAGAAAACATTAAACATTTACTTCCCTGCTGCTTCTAGTAGCATTGTCAGAAAGGCTTGTTACATAGCTCATACACTGCCTTTTCTCCCCACACCTCATGGGTTTCTTATTGTACTGATTGCACAGAAACTTCCAGACATTTAAAGAGGCTACCTGTAGCTTGAGTACTGCTGAAGCCTGAGGCTGACAAAGTTGTTTTTGTCAGTGCTATACTGCTGCTTTTCAGCAGTGACTTGGATGCTCACTGTACATCAGATACAGTTCATAACTCACGCACCAGGAGCTCACAGGGTGGCAGCACACCATGGGCTCATTCCTGCCAGAGATTTGGTTGTCTAGAGGGTTTCTTTTCATTCCCTGAAGTCTAAAAAGTGGTAGTTGCTTCCATCAGAAGTTCTTCTTACGCAAGTTTGGGGAAATATCACCGAAACGTTAGATAGATGGCTTGCTTCTCCAGCCAGTGGTAAGATTCTTTCTTTGCCCACAGGAATCTCCTATGGGAAGGCCGTAGGTATGTTTAGACCAAGCTGGGTTGACTTCAGATGTGTATATTTTGCATTAAGAATTTTGCATTTCTGTGACTCCAAGGGGAGCATTTCAGAGACTCTTACACCGCTCTTACATTTTAATGTGAGACTCCAGCGCAGGAGGTGACAAACATGTGAGTGGTGGTTTAGTTGCCCACAGCTGAGAGAATCTGCTACCTTTGTGTAGATAACCTGCCAAGTCCCACACATCTACATTGTGTTCCTCCCTGTTTGGAGCCCCAGTGAGTAGAAAGAAACCCATTTTCTTCCATTGGTGATGCAGTGTTTCACTGGTGGTTGATCACAGGCTAGAACAAGTCACACAAAAGTTTGGAGTTTTGGTGATACTTATGTTCAGAAGTTCAAATAATGAGAATAGATGATATGCAATTTTTTTCTGATCAACCTATGAAAATGTAGAATATAAGAATGAAGCAGTTATGGATTTTCAGCAGGTACCATGGAATCTACAAGACAGTGTGCTGGATATCCAAGCTACTGTTTCTGTTTTCTGAGTTATTTGTAATACTTATCTTTGTTTCTCATGATGCTTCAGTATCAAATAAGAGTATATCCAATATATATATATTTAGATATTTGTTTTATTTAATAAAGGTGGATGCACACAGTGCATCTATTGCCCATCTCCATTGGATGGTACTCTAGGATGAATGTGATGCAGAAGTTATAAAACATTTACCGGAGAAGGACTGGCAAGAGCACTTAGTGACAGAGCAAGGAGTGGCTTTAAACTGAAAGAGGTTTAGATTAGATATTAGAGTGAAAATCTTCCCTGTGAGGGTTGTGAGGCCCTGGCACAGGTTGCCCAGAGAAGTTGTGGCTGCCCCATCCCTGGAATTGTTCAAGGCCAGGTTGGATGGGGCTCTGAGCAACCTGGGATTGTGGAAGGTGTCCCTGCCCATGGCAGGGGCTCAAAATGAAGTGGTCTTTAAAATCTTTTCAAAACCAAACTGTTCTATGATTCTATAAAGCACTTTTTGGTATTCAAATTTATGGAAATGTTTCTTGAACTGTTCCTGAATTTTACTGGGAAATGGCTATAAAGTTTTGTTTTTAGAATAAGTGCAGCCTGTAGTTGTGAATATATTGCTGTAGAGAGAAAGAAGAAAACAGAAGTAAACCTGATTCATCCTTTCTCGTTCTCCAGGTAACCAACACAAAGAGTAACTGCACAAAAATGGCAATAAATTAGGCATTTTTAAAAATCATATCCTTTTACATTCTCTAAGAATATTAAAATAACATTGGTAAATTTTTAATGTTTGGGAAATATTAATGCTTTATTTTAACCTGACAGGTTCTGGCTTTTATGAGCAAATGTCAAACCAAGCTTTATACTGCGATGTTAGCAAGTTGTAAATGTGCCTTTGACATTAAAAGGAATTGTAGTTATTTCAATTAAAGTTTCCAAATGACATTTTTCCCCAAGTGTTCACAGTTCTGTGTAGACAGTTAATCTTCCTCATATATCTCTGTCTCCAGTTTGTACTGAGTGCAAATCATGCGTATGACTTGAATGAAAACTTAATTTATTATATTAGATTATTAAATTATTATATTAGAGTGTCTGTATTTTGTGAGCTACCAGACCCAGCTGTGGTGCTGGTTCAGGGTGTGAACCCTGCTGCTGCCCAGTGATTTCCCATCCATCCTGTTTATGGCACAGAACCATTAATTTCTCTCTGTTCAGTACAGAACTGTCAGGAATCTTTTTATGGGGAAGTCCAGGTTTTAATGCAGGATAAATAATGTGCAAGTCACATTTTTTACCTCTTTTTTTTTTCTATTTTTCTCTTCATTCGGAAGACAGATGAGAATGTTCTGTTAGTGTAGTGCTAGTGTGTTCTGAGTTTTGGGTAAAGAACTGAGCTTTCCCCAGCCCTGTTTTACAGTCTCCCAAGGAAGGTCAAAGGCAATGAGTTGCTCAAGAATCACATGGAGCTTGAAGAGAAAAACATGAGACTTCCTTGGCAAGGACTGTAACGCATGCAGGGGCCAGTCTGCTGGATAGTCTGGGCCAGCCCTGTCCAGGGAGCAGATCCCCCCTGGCTCTCTCAGGAGCCCAGATCCGTGCCCAGCCCAGCACTGGCCTGCCTGTGAATGCCTGCTGGAGCTCTGCTTCCTTTTGGTTTTCTGAGGGATGTGATGTGTGTCCTGTGGCTTGTAAAGTCAGGAGGCTTGGATACTCGTGACTGCAATTACTCGGCTTAGGTATTAATTTCTGAAGGACACAAGACAGGCTGTCCCTCTAAGATGCTTAGTTACAGTGAGGAGCAGCCAGGCAGCCAACGCTTGCTGCTCCAGCAGTCGTGATGGTCTTGAATTAAACAACAATTGACCAGATTAGAATACACGTAACACAGATTTTTTTTTTTTTTGTGTGTATCTTAGCTGTACATTGATTTCTCTTTCTGGGAGCTGAGCTAATGTTACTGTAAGATTTTACTCTTACCTGACCTTGAATAGAGCAGGTTTGAGTTTACAGGGTGTTTGCCTCAGCTATGTAGCAAACCAGTGTATCTGCTGCCTTTTACTATTTGCTAGATAACTTTCCAGTTTGAAAAGGCCTTGTTCCTAGATATAACAGATGTGTTGCAGTTTATATAAGAGAGAAATTCGGAGCAGGAGCATTTCTCTTGCATGAGATTTATGCTCACAGCAGTACCCGTATTGTATATGCAGCTATCTTTAGAAATGGTCTTGCTGGATATATCTGTGCCCTCAGTGAAATGTAGAAAGCAGCAGTACTGAGGAGGTATTTCATTATTTAAAAGGTGAATGTTAAGATTCACTGCTGCTGCTCTATACATCACACAAACTGCAGACACAACACATTGGTGCTAAATTAAAGAATAATAAAAGTGAGATAGACGTGGTATTGCTGAGCTTATCCTGCTGACAATTTTGTATCAATAGGTTGCCTCCTCAAAACGTCCCTTCTCAATTGTTCTCAAGAGTTTCAATTCAGCTTTTTTTCTTCTTTTTTTTTCCCTCATGAGAGACCTCAGAGTTCGAGGACTGCTTTGTAACATCCCAGTTGATAAATAATGAAATTGCTCCAAGTTAGGAATGCCCTGAGACAAGTATTCAGTCATTTCTCTGCCTTTGGGTGCTAGCTCTGACAAAAGTCAGGCAATGGTTCAGTGGATGAACTGTCAGCCTTGATCCTCATACTTATAATTTATAGAGCAAGTTTATTTAGTGAGGTACTGCAAATATTGTCATGCTTACTCTAATTTAAGCCACTGTCCTATTGTACACTTTAGTGACCTTATTTTCACCATAATGTTTATTTTTGCTGATATTGTAGAAGTAGTCATTCTGCAGTACTTTGAACTTCTAGCAGGTTATTTATTAAAGATATTAGAGAATTTCCGTTCAAAGCACATTGCAAAGGAGACCACCTCAGTCCCTAAAACAGTGCAGTAAAGGTATTTCTCCATGACAGGTTTGGAAGTGATCTGTGTCTGCCTGTGTGGCTGCTCTGAAGTTTTGCATAACTGCTCTCTAATTCCTAAGCACTAGTGATCTTTGAACTGCAATTTAGGTGTCCAGTCAGCAGAATTGTTTCTTGGGCAATGACAGTCTCTGAGTAACTGTGGTGTGAAAGTAGAGAATGGAAAGCCCTCCCTCTTGCCTTAGTGCTCACACGTGCAGGGATCATCTCTCGGAATAGAGAGGCAGTGCTCCTGGGCATGTGGCTTTGTGCTCCCATGCTTTTGTCGTGAAATGTGTAGCTTCTATCAACCCTCTGCACGAACAACATGTGTTCTGACATGTGGGTGTCCATGTATTTGTCAAAGAGTAGAGTGGAGTAGTGATGAAAACAGGTGAAAATGCAGCAAAAATCCTCTGTGGGGTTTTAATCGGATCTTTTCTCGTTTCCTTTCTAGGTCTGATGTGGTTGTTCTGTGCTTTTCCATTGCTAATCCTAATTCCCTGAATCATGTGAAAACGATGTGGTATCAAGAAATCAAGCACTTCTGTCCCCGCACACCTGTCATTCTGGTGGGCTGCCAGCTCGATCTCCGCTATGCAGACCTGGAGGCTGTGAACAGAGCCAGACGGCCTCTGGCAAGGTAAAGTTTAAACAAAAATAAGAATTAAAAAAGAAATCACCTGGTAATCAAGTACAGCACTTTCAAAAGAGAAATTAGAGAGCCTAGATTCCTTTTTTCTATACAATAGGAATATATGTGCTTTCTTCTGATTCTGTTGTCTGAGTTGGTTGGTTCTTTTAACACATGCAGTTATTATGTTTCACACAATATTTTTACACATTGGACATCTAAACTCATTTGGGTACCTGAACACTATAGTAAGATAGATGTAATAATGTTTGTTGAAGGTTTTAATATATGTCTTTCTTCTTCTGAACATGTGTATCCTGAACATGTGTATTGTACCCTGTCACTGCTGTCAGGTACTGTTTTAAACTGGCAGATTCTACTCAAGTTTTCTTAATTCTCGATTTTATTTTTTTTTTTTGGTAATTGTAATCCTTGATCATGGCAGAAAATAGAATGGTTGCAAATTAAACTTTTAAAAGTTCTGATGTTAAAAGAGAATTTGGGGTCATTCTGGAGAAGCTTTTTTTTGTTGCCCAGATTCAAAAGACAAGCACTCACATGCTTGGACAAAACTGTCTCACAATTACCTGCTTGCTTCTAATTTCTTCCTTTCATGGGAATTTGAATGAGGCCAGATTCATGGAAATAATATCCATGATCATGTAATTAAAGACTGTATTGAACAAATTTCTGTAAGGAGATTGAATTAATATTTTGTGGGACCTTAGAAGACTCTGCATTGCATTGCATTCAAATTCTTGATTTGGCAATATGATTTTCGTATGTTTGGTTGTTTATTAAACATTTCTTCATAATGTGGGTGGGGTGGGCTTTTTGTTTGACTCTTTAAAAGGAAATGTTTGATTTTTTTTTTCCCCAAAACTCTTTTTCTGCCCTAATTCCTGATTTCACCATTAATAAAACTGAATTGGTACTCTGCATGTCTAGCACAGACTTCTGCCACCTGAACTGGTTATTTATTAGCTGGTGACTACAGCAAGCTGTTGTCTGGGGTGTGTTAAGCCTGTGCCAGCTTATGTCTGCCCAATATGGAATGCTCAGAGAACACACTGTTGGGTCATGTCTTCTGGTGAGATGATTTTTTTGCTGGGAAAATGGATCCTAGCCCAGACTTTTTACTGGTTTTGTTTACCCTGCATCATGTACTAGAGGTGTTCTGGAAATTCATGAGTTCCCACATAATGCTTCTACAGCCAAAAAAGCCTTTCTCGTGAAGAGTGTGTTCAGTTACACTTTTGTCACAGGCTACTATGATTTTCTTTAAAAAGCATAAGCTTAAGAAATATTTCTCATTTCATATTTAGCTATATTTTTGGCATTTTTATGTCATGAGGATTTCCATCTGAGTTTAAATGATGGATATGAAGAAAGATTCTGACAAAATATCTGAGTAGTAAGGGATGTTAGGAGATTTTTTTAAATAATGAAAGTTCTCAAGTATCCTATCAACTGTTTTTACTCTAAATTTCCCTTTAATAGAGAGGCAGCTTACTCTTTTTCGTGCAAATGATTTCTACATATATTTAGTAACAACTGCAAAGACACCACCAAACTTAAATGAAATGTAAGTATGTGCTATTCTAAAACTCTGTGGAGTCATGATTGTAGATTTCCAAAGGGAGTTAGTGCTGAACGTTTTGTAAAAATCCATGCTTTCTGGAATAACTTTCTGGTGACTGTTGTGTGTGACAAGGTTTATTTTTTGTTTAACCCTAGGCCGATAAAAAGGGGAGACATTTTGCCCCCAGAAAGAGGCAGAGAGGTTGCCAAGGAACTCGGGATACCATACTATGAAACCAGTGTATTTGACCAGTTTGGGATTAAAGATGTCTTTGACAATGCAATTAGAGCTGCCCTGATCTCCAGAAGACACCTGCAGTTCTGGAAATCTCATTTGAAGAAGGTCCAAAAACCTTTGCTTCAGGCTCCATTCCTACCTCCAAAAGCCCCTCCTCCAGTTATCAAAATTCCTGAGTGTCCCATGCCGAGCATGAATGAAGCTGGATATTTATTGGACAGCCCACTGTGTGCAGATGTCATGTTTGTTCTCCAGGAGCAGGACTGCATTTTTGCTCACAAGATTTACCTAGCTACCTCCTCTTCAAAGTTTTATGACCTTTTCTTAATGGAATGTGAGGAAAGTCTGGACTTGGATGAAACACAGTGTAATAAAGAAAATACAAATAAGGATGTTCAGACAAATCACCCTGAGACAAATAGTGACAGTGATGAGAATTCCTTGAAAACTGCTGATGTTAAAATTCCCCCACCAGAAAGTAGTGACTCTTTAAACATGCTAGAACCCGAATCTGGTGAAACAAACTCTGCAGCGAGATCTCTGTCGTGCTGGGGTAAGGGATTTGTTAGTGTGCACAAGGAAATGCAGGTGAATCCTGTCTCCAATCGGACATGTCCTGTAACTGTGGTAAAAATGGATTCATCTGTGCAGGCCGGACCTTTTAAAACTGTTTTGCAGTTTTTATACACAGGCCAACTGGATGAAAATGAAAAAGACCTCACAAGACTCGCTCAGATTGCTGAAATCTTGGAAGTATTTGATTTGCGGATGATGGTGGAGAATATTATGAATAAAGAAGCCTTCATGAATCAAGAGATTACTAAAGCATTTCATGTCAGAAAAGCTAATCGGATAAAAGAGTGCCTTTGCAAAGGGACATTTTCTGGTGAGTAAATACGTGCTTAAGCAGGAAGAGCGCTAATTCTTTTCTCATTCATGTTACTCTCACTTCCCCGGCTTCAAAAACTCTGACAGCTTACATTGTTCAGGGAGGATGACCCCAAAATTAGAGTGTTACTCAGGCCAACTGTTCCAACCGGGGATTCTGTAGTTTAATTTCTCAAAATCTACCCACAGCTTTTAAAGAAGGGACCCAATTCTCCAAAGTGTTGAGCATCCAATATCCCCCTTTTAAATGAGGCTTTTCATTTAACTATATAAAACTGAATTATTTTTGGGGTGAGGGCCACGAAAAACGAAAGAGGTCCTTGGTTAACAACATGCCAGTGACACACACATTCTGGAGGCACAGTTTCACTTTAAGCACAGCTTTGCAGCACGTCTGTTCCTTTGTTCCCATGGCAGATGTGACATTTAAATTGGACGATGGAAGCATAAAGGCCCACAAGCCACTGCTCATCTGTAGCTGTGAATGGATGTCTGCTATGTTTGGAGGATCATTTATTGAAAGCTCCAACAGTGAGGTATTTGTCTGTTTTTGTCCATTTTGCTTATAATGTTTGATGGATTTAGGGTGATGGGAGCATCATTCTGTATCTATTTGAAAGGTTGCAGTAATCCCTGGAGTCAGTCTTTATTCTTCCCTTGCAAACTTGGGACAATTTTCTTCTTAAGGCATTAAATAAGGTTGCCTAGGAAGATAACATCCTTTCTGTACAAAACTTCCTTCCAGCATTGCATCATGTGTTTAAACCCAAAGTCCTTTAAAATATTAAATATAGAGATGGGGGGGAAATTAAGTATGAATTAGTGAATTTCATTAAAATAATTTTTTAAGCAGTGTGAATATACATTCGTACAGTCAGAGGCATTACAAAGAATACTTGAGGCAGGGGCATTGATGAAGGAATTGAAGAAAAAAAGGTATTAAAGAACCTAGTGTTAAACTAGAAAAGGGAGCTGGTTTCACAGTAGAAATTAAGTGAACTTCGGTAGAAGTTCTACTAACTTTAGTAAAAACTGAGCTCAGATTCTGTAATGTATCAGTCTGTCCTCTGGAATAAAGCAGGTATGCAATACAGTTTAAAAGATCTCAGTGCTTTGAATTAAGATTTTGCAGCAGAAACCTTGTATTTTCAGTTGCCTTCATGGTCTGTTTTTCAAATTCCAAACACTCGGCTAATATTTCTTTCTTGTGCTTTATCCATGCCCAGAGTTTTATTTTTGTTTTGATTTTCTTGTTCCTTTCCGTACTCATGGGTCTTGCTCATATGAAGAGTTCAGTTCTTTCATGTTTAATATTCAGGAAGATTTTGTTCTACTTAGATTTTTCTGGCTTCTTCTAATACAGCTGTAAACATAATTCCTTTCCCAGAGGCATACTCAACAAGTGGTTCATTAAAAATACATAGTTTCATTCTAGTAAGCTGCATTTGGCAATGAAGAATATGCATTTATTTTCTACCAGCCTATTTTTAATGATTAGCTTAACAGTCTTAGCTTATCTTTCCAATTTAAAATATTTAGCTTCCATTTTGTAGAGTTTAAGGCATTCAGTAATGCTTTTGGAAGTTTTAAAATATAGGTAGATATGAATCGAATGGTTTCCTTTGACTGGTTTACGAAAAATAAAACCATCTATTTTTACATATTACCTTTTCTGTATTTGGGGCAAATTTAATAAACTCATTCATTGAATTTACAGTTCTCTGCGCTAACAAAAATATATTAATAATGAATGAGTTTCACAGCAAGCTGTTCTTACTTGGAGAACTGAGTGGCTGATGTGCCTGAGAGCTTCATGCTTTAGCACTAACAGATCTGGGTTTGGATCCCACCCATCCAGGCAGAGCTGAAAAAAAAAATCACAAATCCCTGAAGGTTAACAACCAGCTACCTGGCAACATTTAACCCCATCTAGCAGGAAGGATGTGCTGACTGCTTCCAAACAGTCAGATTAAGTTGCACGTACATTTAATTCCTCCTCATAATTTTTTTATTATTTTTCTGCTGTGCCATTCTTTTTCTGCAATTTCTTCAGAATACCACAGTGCATTCTTCAGTGACAGCATCTCTTTCTTGAGTTATGAAGATGTACCTTACAAATTGCTGATTGAGGGGGATCCACTAGCTCAGGGCTTGGAGGCAGACCTACCTGCTGCAACCTTCAGCCCTGCAAGTTTTACCCTGTTCTTGGAGGGTTGATCGTGTGTGCAAACTGTGGTTGAGATGCTTCAGTGATAGGTTACAGTGGGGCTTTTGAACTGTCCTTCCTTTTCTTCTAGGCCTCCCTGCAGTGAAATGGAGTTAGGGTTGTGCTGGGGAGAAAATAGACAACTTTTGTCCTGGTCTTGGTAGCTTCATCCCATGCTGGTTACACTAATTACACGTGTGGCAAAAACAGCTTACATATTTTTTTCTTCATTTCTTCAGTTCTCAGTTCCTTCCCAACTTTCTTTGCTTGGATCATTTGATTATTTACAAACAGACTGAGAGTCTGTTTTGTTGTTATCCTTTGGTTTTTGTTAGTCTCAGAATATTCCTTGCCAGGAGCAGATAGATTACATTCCTCAGGACATCTACCAAGGGAGGTTTGGCATGAGGAGTGCTCGGGGGCTTTTATGTATCCCACTGAGCTGTCCATTTGCAGGCTAGAAAAGCACTGAACAGATTCACTGCTTGATGTGGATCCAGTTCCAGCAACTTGGTACCGAGTTGCTTGTATGTAAACTGGCAAAGGATCTGACTCTGGAGGTGTGCTTACCTGCTGGCAGCTTCTTGAACTTTAATGGGAAATTTCTGTTTTGAAAAATGTTTTCCCTGCATTCATAAAATAACGTGAAGAGAAAAAGAGAAAGTCCAGCAAAGTCAGAGAGGTGAAATATGACCTCTATATTAAAATCCCTTAATTATTAGAGACTTTTTTCTTAAATATCTTTTCCAGGTAGTTCTTCCCAACATAAACAAGGCTTCCATGCAAGCGGTTTTAGATTACTTGTATACCAAGCAACTATCCTCCAGTCAGGAACTGGACACACTTGAGTTAATTGCATTGGCAAATAGGTTTTGCCTTCCTCACCTGATTGCTCTTGCAGGTAAGAATTTGTGGCCTTGTCCAATGCAGTGTCTTCTGCAATGGCTAAAACGTGGTTTAATGGGTTTTTGAGCATACAAGATTTTCCCAAGTGTCAGAGAAAATATTTTTTTTTCGGAGAGGGATACTGTAACACAAATTGATATTTTCATATAGAGAAGTGTATTTGCCTTTCTCTTGCCCTTTTCAGTTTCTTGCTAAATCAGCTCAGAACACTGAAGTTTTCTGTGCTTTAAAAACAGAGGGAGTAAACCTTCTCTTCAACATTGATTCTAATGTCTGTGCATTGTAATAGCCATTCTGTTGTTATTAATTTACCTGAAAACAAGAACTCCAGGTTTTCCTTTAAGTAATGAATGATGAAGTGCTCCATTTTACATTTCTGTTCAAAGAAAGTAATGAGCCAGGACTGCTCTAGATGATCATGTTTCTCTCTGTGTATGTAACTTGGCACTGTTATGAAGATATGACCAAGGCCAAAACTCAAAGGCAGATGAAGCAAAGCTACACGTATCTACAAGACAACATTTAGGCAAAATTTAATCACATACCAAACCCTAGCTCTCCTTCAGTTGTGCATCAGGACTGTGTTTCACGTCTTCACTGGTTCTGACAGACCAAATCTTTATTGCCTGATTTTGTATATACATTTTATCTGAAGTTTTGGTTATTTTTTTTTTAAGTAATTGCAGCATAAACATATGTACAGTATTAAGAATATTTCATTCAGTTTAATTCTTGATGAAATAATTTTGTGTCCAAAGGCTACTGCCAACAACTGAACCCAGCAGAATCAAGTCAGCTGACAGCCTTTCCCAAAAAGCACTCAAACTTCCAAGATTCTAGGAAATAGTTCTAGGAAAGGGTTAGGGAGAACCTTGAACTGAAGTGACTGTTGGGGGGGAAGCTGGTCAGCCCTCATCTGGATCCCTAGATCTGAAAGTCTGAAGAGGTCCTGAAGTGACCTTTTCTCTCTCAGTGCTGTGTATACTCATTAATAAATCCACAATTCAGTGGGAAGTGCGCTGTTGCCTAAAAACTTCTTATTACCCAAAAGAGACAGCTGATCCATATTTCTAATTTATATTGAATATTGTACTCATCCATTCTGCCAGAAAGAGACTAGTGGCTGCTGAACTTAGTCCTTCTGTGAGTGGTTATTAACTGCAGGCTTACTTTCTGTCAGAAAGAGATAAGAATTGCATGAAACCAAAATAAATTGTTTGGGTTGAAGCGAAGGGGCAAATCCTCATGGGACTGTGCTCCAGTGGAGCAAGACAGTTTATACCTGTGATACAGAATCTTCAGCCACAGCTCTAAAGGTGAGAATTTGACTTTACCCAAATCTGAAGCTGCTGAGAGTATCTGGGTGAATGTGACCTGTGCATAATGCCAGCTAACACCAGGAGGAGGGACAACATCCCACCTTGATTCTTCGTTACCTGTAGATGATCTGACCTTGAAATGTGACCATTTCTCATGTGAGTGATGAGTTTTCTCCTCTAACAGAACAGCATGCAGTACAGGAGCTGACAAAAGCCTCCATGAGCGGCGTTGCAATAGATGGGGAAGTGCTCTCCTATTTGGAATTGGCACAGGTCAGTGTACACAGCTTTTTAAAGATATTCTGGTCTGCAAGTCTGCAGGACTTGCTTTTAGCACCTTACTGGTTCTGAGCATTGCTTCTGAGTGGCTCAAAGTCTGCAGTTCTGAGAGTGATTGACAATAAAACTTAGTTTTATCTTCTATTTTAAGGAAGGTTTTTCCATTAGTTCAGAGGTGAAACATCCCTTTAAGTAATCTCAGAGGAGTTGTCTTTCAAATACATATTTTAGTTTTTCTTGATTGTGGAACTTCCAAGCTCCATGTTCTCCTGACCATGGTTCAGTAGCGTGAAAAGCAATGTAATGAAGCTGTTCAGCTTTGTAATGGTGACTGATTCTTGCCTTCCTTTCAATTCAGCTCTGGTAGATTTATTTAGACCCATATTGCAAAGGCAACATTTTTTGAATACTTAGACTGGCTACTCAAAGTCAATCAGATAATTCAGAGTGAGTGCAAATCCTTCTTATGTTCAGATATGTTTCAATGTTTCTTGAGTCCCAGAAATCATTAAAAAAGAGAGTCCCTAGCTCACAGTTAAACACTGCTGTTTTCCAAAAGGAATCATACAGCAGACTCCCAGATACAGTAGAAAAAGATAAAATATTTTTAAAATTTTATTATTCTTGATTTCACATTAATGAGTCAGCTGCAGATTGGCTTGAAGTCTGAGGTTTAAGTAGCACTAAAATACTGCAAAGCTGGCCACCATGCAACATTTCCTGCAGCTGTTTTCAAGCTCCTCTCTTGCAGTACCTATAATCCTGTTGGAAAACCAGAACTGAACCCCTCCCAAGAGAGAGCAGCTCACTTCATTTTGATTTTACCAAGAGTGATTTTTCTTTTAATTTTTTTTCTCCTGGTTGATGACAGAAGCAATATCTTTAACTACTGTTAGAATATCCTCTGTGCCCAGTACCTAGCTCAGTATGACGTGTTCATAACCTGAGATCACAGCAGGCAGTCAGAATGCTGAAATCCATACACAGGCTGTACAACTTGACTTGCATTTTAGCTATGCTTCCTTGTGACCATAGGAAGCTTGTACAAGATTCTGCCTTGAGCTTTTAGTGTACCCAATTTCTGTCAACGAGCAGTTCTCCAGGGAGTTACTTCAGAGCAGGGTTTGCAGTAAGTACAGGGACACACGACTGGTACAGTCACACCAGGAAATTCACTTCCAGTGTGCATGAGTCTGAACACCCTTTGCCAGGTGCTGGGCATGTTAAACACCTGTTCATGAGCCTTTGGGGCCACTGGTTGTTCCAGCAGAATTGTGCAACAAGGTCTAGGGCACCTAAAGGCCACTTCAGCCTCAAAAGCTCTGTGTGTTTGAGAGAGTTCTGCCAGGTACAATCTGCTGGAGACCATTCTAGTTTCAGCTGTTAATGGGGGCTGCAAAATGAATGATAACCTCAGGAAGTGCAATAAGCTCTTTGTTTTTCTTCCCAGTTTCACAATGCTAACCAGCTGGCAGCTTGGTGCTTGCACTACATCTGCACCAACTACAACAGCGTTTGCTCCAAATTCCGCAAGGAAATCAAAGCTAAATCTGCAGGTATGGGCAACTTCCTTCCTCAGTTTTCATGAGGTTTCCCCTTCTTTCTCCCCACCCAGTTGATTAAACCTGAAGACAAAGATGAGCTCAGACAGCTCAGCCATGAGACTGAACCGTCTATGCTATCTGAATAGCATTCATAAATTCTTATCTGCAAAGAAAGGTCATAATCATTAGCCTGATTGCTGGGCAAGCATTATGTTCTTTACCTAATTCAGTGATGCTAAAAGGAACAGAGCTATTTTCAGGCTCTGCAATGAAAAACACACTCTGTAAAGGCCTTGCTTTTTTATAGCTTTTGGTGGACTGTGGCCTCTTTAGTGCAACCCCTTTCAAAGTCTTGTCTCACTGTAAGGCATTGGAGGAAACTGGGTGAATCCTTGATAAACCAGACAACATAGAGACTGGATGAGGGATTAACTGCATAGCTTTTTGCAGACACTCAAGACATTCCTGGGGTTTGTATATCTTATTGGCTTGTTTGGTTTTTTCTTTTTTTCATTGTTTCTTTTTAATCAGATAATCAAGAATATTTTGAGAGGCATCGGTGGCCGCCTGTGTGGTATTTAAAGGAAGAAGATCACTACCAGAGGGTGAAAAAGGAAAGAGAAAAGGAAGATGTTGCACTGAACAAACATCATTCAAAGCGGAAGTGGTGCTTCTGGAATTCCTCTGCTGCAGTTGCCTGAACAAAGCAAATAAGTGGAAATCCATAGCCAGAAATTATTCTTATTTGTTAGAAATAAGATGTAGTTCAGGTTTTCAGGAAACTGTGTTCCAAGTGTGCATTTATTACTGCTAGGGTCAAAAGCACAAGCTCACTGAAAGTGAGCCTGGAACAGCTCCTCGAAGTCATATGTATATTTTTGACTGATAAGCAGATAAATGTTGAGCATTATTACATTTCTTTTTATAAAAAAAAAAAACCAAATCCAGCATTAATGTTTCAATCTCCAGTTGGGAAATATTTTTATACTGTCTGGTGTATTTTGTTCAGATAAAATTCTGGATACTGTTTTATTTTACAGACCACAAAATAACCATGTAGCAGCTTTGTAATTAGATTTTAACTATTTTTACTATGCGAGCACAGTGAAATAGACAATCTTCAGTCATAAGAGACTGCTTTTAGAGTATCTCATAAAAAGTCATCTTAGGAAAAAAATCTAGTTGCCTACTATAGGTTGTCTTTTTTAAACTAAGTACTGTGCACTGGTAATATAATTAGATGGTTATTTCCCCTTTCTAAAGTAAAGGGTTAGAATAAGATCCAATAACTGCAAGATATAGAGTGCTTGATCTTTGCTCAGCTGAATAATAGGCAGTATAATTACCTGTTCAACTGCAGGCAAATGTATTTCTAATATTTGCCGTGTAAGTGCAAATAATTATGACTATGTGGGCCATGTGAAATCTAGTGATTCAAAGTATTCAGAGGTTTTATATGTCTAGATCAAAGAGGATATTTCTAAAATCATTTAGAAGGGCTTATTAATTTATATCCTTATACAAGTATGGATCTGAATGCAAAAAGCAGTCACTGCTTGCATTTGAATTACTGCATGGCAGTTACCTTGTTCTGCAGGATCTTAAAACCATGCAGCCATTTCTCATCCTGAATTCCTTTTTGCTTCAGTGCAAGCAAATAAAGGGCTGCAAAACCAAGTAGATGTCACCTAGTGTTACAGCATTTTGTAAGTGAAGAAGGGTCTTCACATACAAGATTACTTCAGTTTGATCCAAACTATTTTATAGCTTTTCCCAGTTAGAACTCAAAATTTTAGGTTATTTTTAAGTAGATGATATATTTCCTCTGGAAGCAGATTCCCAGAACTCTGGGGGGCAAACTGATGGCAGAAGGGCAGAAATTCTGCACAATTGGTGCAAAAAATGAAAAAGCTTCCAGTGTTTTCAAATAGCCTGTGTGTTTATGACTTTTTATCAACCATTACTCTAAAGCTGCAGTGTTACACTAGATTATGTAAGGATGAGAGCATTTCTTTAAAAGACCAAAACTGAAATACATAGACTGTAGAACATACACATGCAATCCTGTGCAGTGTCTCAGGCACAACTCTGTAACCAAGGTAGTATTGTGTGTTAGGTTCAGTAATACTGTTTTGTGCTGGCAGCTCAGCACACCAATGTGAAAAGCTGTTTGTTTGTTTATTTGTGTTTTTTTCTGTATCCAAAGGCAAGGCAGTACAGTCACACCCCAGCACTGTAGGTCAGGAAAGGCTTTGGCCTGAAAGCCATATACACCTCTACATATTTGCGTTCTGAACAGACTGATTCTTGGCAGATGCTACCACAGGATGGTAGAAGCCACCCAGCACAGAAAGAGATGCTGCTCTACAAACTTCTGTAAGGAAAGCCAAGTGAGAGATTCCTACCCCTTTAGGATTCATCACTGTATGGTGATAAAGAAGGGCTACAAATGATGGTTGCAAATGTCTCCTTAATTCTCGGTCAGTGACAATGTGTAGTGTGGAGGAGAACATCGAACGAGAGAAGACGTGTCAAGACTAAGATGAGATAAATAGCTGTTGTCATAAAATGTTAACCAGTCACATTTTAAGTATTGCTACTAGGTTTTACACAACCAAAGCTACTGTATGATTGTAATCTTGCCAAACTGTAATGGATATATAAATGAACCTGAGGTATATGCAATAATATCCAGTTATTCTAGTTATCAGCTACTATAACCAAGTGGCTGGTTCATTTGGTTAATGCTGTCTATGGCCTTTAATCTTGGTGGTTATTTTGTGTTTTTTATTTTGGAAAAAAAAAGTCAATAAAACTGTTTAGTTACAAATTGTCTCCTAGCTCTTTGAAGAAACTTCCTAAATTTTGCATTATGTGCTTCTCTTTTTAGTGCTCCTTGTAAGCATTCAGTCATGGTATCATTCATTGAGTTTTACTGAACTGATACTTGCACAGCACATCAGGATTTATGGTTGGGAATGTCACAAGGAAATCCTGCAGTGGTTGTATATGATAGTGGAAGGCTGGTGCTTGTCACTTGCTGTTAAACTGCATAGCAAAAAAACCGCAAACAACCTCTTGCCACTTTGCCCCATGGTTTCTGATATTTAATTAGCATGATATTACCCAAGGGACATGAAACTAATTGGTCATGACAGACACAGGGGGGGAAATGCAGGTAAACAGCAGGAAGTCTGAGGTTTTCAGTACACTCTCAACTTTGTACAGACACTGTTTTCCCTGCTTTCTCACTGCCTTGGTTGCCAACCATTAGATAGAATTCCTCATTAACTGCTTATAGACCCTCAGCAACTACCTCCCTGAATATAGCTTGTTTAATTGATAGATGTAGAAAGTTGGTACTTTTCTAGAGAATTTTTGCAAGATGTCATGCAAAGAATGCCATGTTAAGAGCTTTGAAGAAAATCACAAAGCAATGCCAAGGACACTGAAAGTAAGTGCATTCTGTACACAGTGTTCTTTTTTTTTTTCCCCGAGTGCTAATTTATGATAATGTTACATATCCAATTTATTTTTGGAAGCAAAAGTTTATTTCTTTGAACTTACCATTAGAAAAGATAATGGGCTTAAAAGAAAAAGTGGTGACATTAAATGTAAAAATGTTTCCCTTGATTATGAGAAAAGCAGTAGCATGGAAGGAAGAAGCAAATCAGAAGCATTGCTCTTCAGGACATTCTTTTTTAAATATTAAGACCAATATTAAGATGTTGCATGTCCTTTGTTTCTGGGGAGTCTCATCTTATTTCTTAGAAACACTGTTTTTCTATTTGTTCTTCAAGACAGAATTTCTGTGAGCAAGTTTCTCTGCAGCACAGCCCAGTTTCTGCGGCTTCCTACCCACGAATAGCACACCAGAGCCAGGAATAGAATTGTTTTGTCAGTAAGATGGGATTGGCCAGACTGCAGCCACAACTCACTAATTTCATTCCCTGAAGACCTACTCATCACAGTCTTTTAGTCAGAGCAGGCCTCCCAGGGTGAGAGGTAAGCCAGACAGTACAAAATATGTGGGTACGTTAAGAAGGGTTGCCCGGTAGAAGAGACTAATCTGGAAATCCCTTTTGAGCACTGAAAGCATGATTCTGCCAAAAGGAGTAAGGAAAAGCAGCACGGTGATTTATTGCCTTAATTCTTCAGCAACTTACCAACAGATAGCCCTCAAGAATAAATTATGCCTAGAAGTGTTTGATTTGTAAAATCAGGGGATTTTTTTTTTTTCTGTTTGTGAGTAACAAGCACTGGTAGACCAGCTGAAGGCATCTTGGAAATCCTTCTCTCAGGGTCAAGTCTTTCATCCTCTGTACAAAGAGGTTTAGATAAAGATCTAATGTGCTAAATAGGATTAATTTTGGTACGTAAACTCCAGGATGGTGACATATTACAATTCTTCCAGACTTTAAGATTACAGTCTGGTGGAGAGATTTGCTTTGTCAGATGACATGACAGTTTTGTCCTTATTCTGTGCCTTTTTTTTTTAGATCACAGTCTTTATACTGTTGTCACTGGACAGACCAGCATTTATTTATTCTGGATTGGAATCCAAAGTATGTACTATGCAGTAAGATGTCTTTTAGGTGTCTGCTTCCCATTCCTGAAACCCCTTAGATTTTTGGTCTATTAAAATGATCTAACAGCATTTGCATGAGCTTACTTCTCCTGCAGGCAAAATTCCTATTGAAATGGATGAGATACTACACACACACAGACTTTGGGCTTTGAGGTGCCACCTAATGAATTTACACGTTATCGCTTGCCTGTGTTCCAAATCTTCCAAAGAAGTTTGCTCTGTTTACTGCATGCAGGATAGGACAGTGTGTTAGCAGTGATAATCCCCATCCAGCAGGCTCTACAATAGGGTAATTTATTGTCAGTTAACTTATGCCTGTGCCTTTAGCTAAGAGAATGTAACCCGTGTCACGGATTCACTTTGCACCAGCAGCCGGAGTAGTGAGACTATTGTACATTTATACATGCAAATGAAATCCCTCAGTGCTGCTTACATAAAAATCTTGATTTCTCGTATAAATATGAAAAGCTTTTGGATCAAGGCTGCAGGAGGCTAAGATGAAAATTTGAACATTAGAAGATGGTTATGCTAATGTATCCCAGCTCTGGAGAAAATCAAACTGAGAAGGTGAAGGTGTGATTCAGAGTGAGCAGTTGACATGGGACAACAGAGTTGTGATGGCTCCTTTATAGTTGCTCAGCCTTACCTTACCTTTTGGTTTGTAAGCAGGGCACATAGATACAACATCCCACTGGGATGTTCTGCAGCAACAAATGTTCCCAAGATGCAGGTCCCGCATCCCACCCCCACAGGTTACAGTGAAAACATTATATTATGTTGCTAATTCACAGTGGAGATTTTCTTAAGCAATTTTCTTGCCTTTGACATTAAAAAAAAAAGGATTCTTTATTCCCCATTGGGATTCATATTTTTGTAAGTTATGGCTGCATAATAAGGATTATGTGGCATTCCAGGTATTAGTGCTGCGTATTCAAATTATCCTCACAGGTTTTAAAAAAATCCCCTACAATTAGCAGCAGTTTGTGAGTATATGATTAAACTTGTATCTTAGTCATTAAATATAAGCTAGTCATTCAAACTAGATGATCAGATGTACTTGCCTCCACCTCCCAGCTATTTTAAATATTGGTTGTGCACTACATATTACAAAGAAATTTCTTTACATTTCTCCCCTGGGTGCTCACTTAGACTTACAGCCTTGTAAAATTTTGTGGATCCCTGTGCTCTTTGTATCACATGTACATTTTTCAATTATAGAGTATCTGGGGTTAGTTTTTAAATAATTGGCAGATCTCATCAAGTGATGAAAAGTCTGTTAGATGATGATGCCTTTTCCCACAAGCAGTATAAAGGAAGGGGGTTGCTCAGAAGCCCCTGG